CATCAGTATGTAAATTTAACAGAAAACTCCTAAAGCCTGCAAACTAGAAACAATATCATGAAGAATCCCCAAATAATATTTACATATTCTACAAAACCATGTAGCATGTGACAGCAGTATGTAGCATGTGACAGCTAGAGTAGTATGTAGCATGTGACAGCAGTGTGTAGCATGTGACAGAGTAGTATGTAGCATGTGACAGCTAGAGTAGTATGTAGCATGTGACAGCAGTGTGTAGCATGTGACAGCAGTGTGTAGCATGTGACAGAGTAGTATGTAGCATGTGACAGCAGTAGTATGTAGCATGTGACAGCAGTATTTAGCAGTGTGCACACTCTTGGAAAACAAATTTAAATTACATCATTCTTTCAACATCTGACAACAATAGGAAACATATTATCAATGCTAAGAAACAAAAATTTACATTCAAACTGTTGATTTTCAGCAGAAGCCTGCCAAAGATGAAATTTCAAGAACAAGAAACTTCAAGGTGGACTTTTCATCGGTTAACTTACATTGTTCGCACATCAGACCATCTGCGTTCAGTTCATATCCAGGTGAACACATGCATGTAAAACCAGCGTCATTCGGGGCAAGAACACAAAGATGTGAACAACCGCTATTTTCACAGAAATTACGACCTATTGTAAGAATTGACAAAGAAATTGATGAATGTATATCTATATTGTTAATACATCTGACAGTAAATGAACAAGAATTTCAGTCTGGTTAACAACAATTACTCACAATGTGCAATAACTTAATAATAATGCCAATAAAGAAGTTTCGAGAAAAAAAAAATATTATGGAGACGAACGAATTTTCTGGTGAATATTAAAACCATAACTGCGAATGTATGTTCATCAATGCGCTTAGACATGAGCGTAATTAGCATATTTTCCCAAAGCATAATTCAAGTTAAATGATAATAAGATTTCCATCATTTTGATGAGTTGGACATGTGATTAAAAGGTTGTTATATTTTTTCAAGTGCAACTTAAGAAGTCTGCCTGGTAAGTACTAAAACCAAATCAGATAGCTAGTATTCAAGAAGAAGACGAAAATGTATACCTCTGATAGCAATAGACAACAAAGGTGAAAGGGTATAGTGCATCAAGGTAAACAGTGTTGCCGGGTAATTTTAACTTACTAGTTGGCTGTAGAGCAGGGTGATTGATGTGTATGCCAAGTGGATGGGAGAGTGAGACGACTGCACTACGATTCTGACCAGTGTATTTATTTACACGCATTGCTTCGTTATTCTCTCGGTCAGTCCAATAAACAAAGTCTTCAAATAAAGCCATATGATGAAGACCGCTGATGAACTGAAATAAATAATATTAAAAAG